CATGATGTTTAATATGGAACCTATGTTTATCATCATTCTGGTTTGCATGTCCTGGGTACTAAAGTTTTATATTTATTTATATCCCTTATGAGTTTAAAATAAGTATCTTCTTCAACAATCCACATTTGCAAGAGCTCAGTTCATATGATGTCTTTATGGCTTTTTAAAAATTGTTTCTCTTTAAAAAGTCCAAGTTAAAATATTGCATATGGGAGACATTAATGCTTTAGCTTTATGAAACATTGTGATAAAATGTATGGTAAAATTCCTAAAGGAGTTTTGCTTATTTTAAAACTTTGGGAATTGTCAATTCTTTTTGTTAATTTTCATTTTAATTTTCAAGATTACATGAAGGTTGTATTTTTAAACAAATTTCTCCTAATTTTTTCGTTTCTTAAAAAACACAGCCAACACTACTTCTGCTGACACGCACAAGCAAGGATGGAACTCTCTGCCATTACCCCATCGGTGTTGTTGCCAGTGGACCAGGAACACCTAGGCCCTTCCAGCACAACAGGTTCCTAATCTTGAGGGACCAGAGAACAAAGCCAGGGGCCCAGCTGCAACCTGCCCAGGGTTACAGCATGCAGGCCAGGACTGCTGAGCTGCGCCTTGGGCCCCTGAAATCTTCAAAACAATAAAGTCAGTTGACTGAGTCCACTTTATACCACAATCAAACTCTCAAGGGCAGCAAAGAAGATAAAACCAAAAAACACCATCCAAAGGAGAGCACCTTCAAAGAATAAAGGAACATCACCCACACGGGTGACAATGATCCAGCACAAGACCTCTGGCAACTCAAAAATCGAGAGTGTCTTCTTACCTCCAAATGACCACACTGGTCCCCAACAGTAGTTCTTCACCAGGCTGAAATGGCTGAAATAAAAGACATAGAACTTAGAATCTGCATAGGAAAAAAGATCGTCGAGAGTTAGGAGAAAGTCGAAGCCCAATACAAGGATTTTGAGGAATCCAGTAAAATGATACAGGAGCTGAAAGATGAAATAGCAATTTTACGAATGAGCCAAACTGATCTGATAGAGCTGAAAAACTCACTACAAGAACTTCATAATGCAATCACAAGTTTATTCAATTATTTTTTATTATTATTATTATTTAAGACAGAGTTTCACTCTTGTCACCCAAGCTGGAGTGCAATAGCACAATCTCAGTTCACTGCAACCTCTGCCTCCTGGCTTCAAGTGATTCTCCTGCCTCAGCCTCCCAAGTAGCTGGGATTACACATGCCCACCACCAAGCCTGACTAATTTTTTGTATTTTTAGTAGACATAGGGTTTCACCATGTTGGCCAGGCTAGTCTCAAAATCCTGACTTCAGGTGATCCTCCCACCTCAGCCTCCCAAAGTTCTGGGGTTACAGGCATGAGCCACCATACCCGGCCTATGTAATGTTTAAAAATTATTATTTCTATCATTTTTGGAGAATAGGTGGTGTTTGGTTACATAGATAATTATTTAATGGTGATTTCTGAGACTTTGATGTACCCATCACCCAAGCGGTATACCCAATGTGTAGCCTTTTATCCCTCACACCCCTTGATATGTGTTGGGTCTGTGTCTCCACCCAAATCTCATTTCAAATTGTAATCCCCAGATGTTGAGCAAAGGACCTGTAATCCCCAAGTGTCGAGGGAGGGGGTTGATTAGATCATAAGGGCAATTTCCCCAATGCTGTTCTCATGATAGCAAGTAAGTTCTCATGAGATCTGATGGTTTATAAGGCAGTTTTCCTGGCTCTCTCTCACTCTCTTTCTCTCTCTTTGTGGTTCCAGTTTGCATGTTCCTGATCATTAGTAATGTTCAGCATTTTTTCATATCTTCGTTGGCCATTTGTATATCCTCTTTTGAGAATTATCTATTCATATCCTCAGCCCACTTTGATGCGATTATTATTTTTTCTTGCTCATTTGACTTCCTTGCAGATTTTGGATACCAGTCCTTTGTCAGATGCATACTTTGGGAATAATTATTTCCACTCTGTGGGTCATCTGTTTACTCTGTTGATTATTTCTTTTGCTGTGAAGAGCTTTTTAATTTAATAAGGTCTTATCTACTTATCTGTGTTTTGGTTGCATTTGCTTTTGGGTTCTCGGTCATGAACTCTCTGCCTAAACGAATGTCTGGAAGAGTTTTTTCAATGTTATATTCTAGAATTTAGATGGTTTCAGGTCGCAGATTTGAGTCTTTAATACATCTTGAGTTGGTTTTTGTATAAGGTGAGAGATGACCCTGCAGTTTCATTGTCCTACATGTGGCTTGCCAATTATTCCAGCATCATTTGTTGAATAGAGTAGTCCTTTTCCCACTTTATGCTTTGGTTTGCTTAGTCAAAGATCAGTCGGCTGTAAGTATTTGGCTTTATTTCTGGATTATCTGTTCTGTTCCGTTGATCTATGTGCCTATTTTTATACCAGTATCATGTTGTTTTGATTACTACCTGTCTCTTATACACATCTAGATGTGTATAAGAGACAGGAACAAAGCCAGGGGCCCAGCTGCAACCTGCCCAGGGTTACAGCATGCAGGCCAGGACTGCTGAGCTGCGCCTTGGGCCCCTGAAATCTTCAAAA